AAAGCGGATGGTGTCAGGGACTTCTTTAAGGAACAACATTTCCTCCTCTATTAAAGTAAGTCGATCGGCTTGTGATTTGGGTGTCGACTTTGTCGTCGATATGTTTTCGGTCTTTGCTATGTCACAAAGTTAACAAAACTCTAATACCACTTGTCACAATCGCACTTTTGATGGCAGCAGACTTGCGATTGTGCGGCACTCACTTTCCAATGGCAAGTGAGCTAAGCCAATTCATTCTTGCGTCGCCTACGGCCAAGCAACGTATGCTCAAGCCTTTGGCCTCAGTTTTAAGAGAAGGTTTTAGAAAATGAAGGCAAAGAGGGATTTTTGAAAGAGACGTTATATAAGCAAGCAAGAGAGAAATAACAACGGCTCACAGTATATAACCTTGGGTAGGGAGAAGTTGACAACTAGTCGTATCCCCCTATAGTACATTCTGAGGCATTTCATGTCGGGCAGGCCTAGACATGATATTTTTGAAACGTCATATTTCCTAGAAATACAAAAGTAAAACACTAGAAAATGAAAAGACATAAAGGGTTTGGCTTGTCATGGGCATGTAGCCATGGGCAACACACCTTGAACGAGCATGAGCATGACACCAAGCAACATAGTCAGAATACCTAAGCTCAAGGTTTCATGCATTCCAAGAAGCGTAGTCTAAAATCCTGCACCCAGTGCTTGCCCTATGGTACAACCAGAATACCTATGCCCAAGGCTTCATGCGTTCCAAGCGGCATAATCTGAATACCTACGGTCAAGGCTTCATACGTTCCAAGCAGCGTAGCCTGAGTCAAAAACATGTTCTACCGCGGGAGGTCTTAGGATTTTTTCTTCACTTTTTGTGTTTTAGGACCTTGGTCCCTTATCCATGAGTGGTATCTAGCATTCTTCTTGCTTTGGTAGTTGTAGAGCTTGTTTGGTATTGTTCTTAGTTCTCAATCTTGTAAGTTTCTAAGGTTCATAATTCCTTGAGGCATAAGTTGTAACATGCATTCGTAAACATATGAATCCATCGTAATAACAAGCATGAGATGTTCTAGAAGGTCATAGATTCATAATGAATTCCTTGGAGGGTTATAGAAGGGTCTTGAGTCTTGAGGTGTTTCCTTTAGTCGTTTCTTAGGTCCTAACTTGCTTCAGATTTCAAACTTTCTCTAATCAACTTGAACGTACATTCTTGTCCTTAGGAATAGGCCTTATAAAAAGTAGGAAGTCATTTGAAGCAAGTATAGACCTTGAATTTTCATAAGTAGTCTTAGGGGCATTTTTGTCATTTTACCCCTAATTCTTTGTTTTGCTACTTAGTGTGTTCTAATGGCTTTCAAACTTCACCACACCATCAGATATCATAGAGTAAGGTCTACTACAGAATTTAATAGCATTTAGAGGTCCTCTAGGTCAGGAACCGTAGAGAGATATCCTTAGGGGCATTATGGCCATTTTGTACCATTTATTGGTTTACGTACTTATGCTTATCCAATGATCACCAAATTTCATATATAACCTCACCATGCTATAATATATTCAGCATTAAAATTTCATAGGCAGCGATGTTCATCTAGTTTGTTATTTTAATGTTGCTTAAATCTAGAACAATTTGATACTATAGTATATGTTGAGTAGTATTTGCATTTGACAATAGTATAGATTAGTATATGTTGAGTTGTATTTATATTTAATAAACTATAGGTTGAGTTGTATTTGTATTTAATAAACTATAGGTTGAGTTGTATTTGTATTTAATAAAGTATAGGTTGAGTTGTATTTGCATTTAATAAAGTGTAGGTTAGTATAGGTTCAGTTGTATTTATAATTATTAAGTCATTGGTAAGTACAGGACATTTAATTCAATAATGTTTTTCATTCTTTCTTTGTATTTTTTTATTCCCGAAATAATAAATGAAGCAAGAAGTTAATGTGGAACTTATAATAAGGGTTCATTAAAGTAATTCCGTATTAAATGTCAGGTTAAATTTGATTTAATGGTCTTAGGTTAAATAGGAAAATTTAGGGTGAAAATCTCTCCTTAAAGACGAGTTTTAAAACCGTGAAGCAAACGATATTACATAACGTGCCAATGTGGACAAAATAGACAAAGCGGACAATATCGACTAGCGATGAATTTGGATGTTTGAACATTGGACCACACCTTTTAAATTTTGATTTTGTTGTGAATCTCTCATTCTTATTAATCATATCTATTTTTCTTCTGGTTTAAAGTGAATAAAAAATTGATAAACTTCCTTTTAAACAACCATTTATAACTCTGTCTTAAATCTCCTTTAGAACTGTAATTAAGGACTGTTTAGCACAACTTTATTTTTCCATGTCCACCAAAAATACCAAATGAAAAAGAATTGATATTTATAACGAGTAACAAGTATAGATATCCAACCTCAAAACATTCATAGGAATTAATTTTTAGAGTGGATATCAAGCTTAAATCACCTTCTCAAACTGCTTTAATAGCTTGTTCAAAACATGTATTTTTTTTATTTTTTTATTTTGCTATATAATGAACAAATCCAAATGATTAAACGTCAACAAAAACAAATTTGAATATTTTAAAAAAATGAAGACTCTAACAGAATTATTATCTAATTGTTTGCTTTGGAATTAAGCACTATTATTAACACATGTTTTGCGGGATCCAACCGACAAGCTGTAGTGGAAAATTGGCATTTACCATAAGGCAAATGACAAGTGACTATTTACCATTATCAAACAAACTCAATTTTAAATGCCCATTGCAAGTCAAAAGATGATGATTTGAACGAATGCGTTTTGGACAAGCGAGCCCAATTCCACTAGAGATTTGAAATGAACTTTTAGCATACGACTTTGTATTGGGGCAATTTTAACAGTTTGAATGGACATGCTTCGTTTCAGGTATTTTGGCCAGAGAACTTGCATTGGCTTTCTGAATGATTCAACATTAAAAAACTGGATTTGGGCAGCATTTGATGATGGATTTTACTTAAAAAATCTTCATTCGGGGAAGTTTGAATCGATACACCCTTGAGAAAAATGAAGTAAAATCTCCCTCACTCATTTTGGTCCCACAAAACGTACTTTTTTTTTTCTTTTATGTTTGCTTCCTTTCACATGTAATAATTCTACAGAGAGTTATGAGGTTTTTTAATAGACATATAGATGTTACATATTTAAGTCTAATAAAAGGGGAGAAATCTTTTGGGAATTTATAGTTTTGATGTTGATAATTTGGTTGGGTTTCAAGTTTCTACTTATATCAACCCATGTGTAAGCTTTCAAACTCTGGATTTGGCCGTTAATGATCCTAATATTCCCCTAACAATATTGTAAGGTTATTTACTTCTCGCCTCTAAGAGCGAAAACTTTCTCCACAGACAAACATGAGTCCTTCGAGCATGTCTTTTCCTCACTCACATGTTTGCTACAAAAATTCTCACGAGGTCTTCCAACATAAAATTGCTCCAAGAAAAGTACATTTATCTCGAAGTTCTTATGATTAAGCCAACAAAAAGGAAAGTGCATCTCGTTGATATAGGTAGTAAGTTTCAATTCTTTTTAAGCATTTCTTAGTCATCTATACTCTGGGTCACTTTATCGGATATAATCTTAGTTCATTCATGTACTCTCTTTTACTCGAGTATCACTCTACTCAAAACCCTTTCAGGATTAAGGAATATTTCAAGTTTTAACATTTTAAATGTAACAAATTAGGACGAAAAGAAAATGTAATGCCCCTAATTTTCTTTAACCTAATTAGTGACGTCACCCATGCATACTTATCTTTTTAAGCGGAAGCCCATCCTAAATAACCTTGAAAGAGTCATTCATAAATATTCATGAATCCAAAACAAAATCTAAACTCCGAAAATAAACCTTCAATGCTGAATTCAAATTAAATCCAAATAAAACAATACTCAATGCTATAACTTAAAACAGTCTAATAAAAGTAAACTCCTAAAAATATCTCGTCTCCAACTTCCATGGTGGCCTCAGCTCCGCTGTCAACCGTACATTGGTGCCTTGCCTTTACCTGAAAAATGTAGGTAGCACGTGGCTTGAGTATTTTATGAAATACTCAGTAAGTCACCCCACTGTTGGAGTTAGGAATGCAAAGACATGCAACATATGAGCGGGACCTAACTTTTCATAAACTTTTCATAGCCTTGGGCGCTTTTCTATTCCGAGAAGGGTTGGATGTGTGGTACTCCTTCACACATGGCCCATGTACGTGTACATGAACCCACCAAGCGGGCTCGTAAACATACCCCTTGGACCTGACTTGTTCGGGCAAAACGTGTTACACGTAGCCGGACACTACAGAACAGAAAAGGGCCCGCATGATATCATGGCGAACATAAATATCGTATTTCATTCTTTCGTATCATAAAGGGGAAGAATCCCGATGCATGTGACATACATATATGCATGAGGTCGCTTAACATATCTAACATGGCATTACATAAGCAGTGCTAACATCGCATTGACGTTTCTTACATCACATGGCATCTCACATGACTTATATTACATGGCATATTACATAAACATTCCAGTTGCATAAACATCTCATGACATGACTCGATAATTCTACTTGTATCTATGGCATCGATCAACATAATCATGACATATAATACTAACATTTCATTCATGACTTCACATAACATAAACAGTCAACGTAATTCATACATCACATAACATACACAATCTACAGTCAACACAATCTATACATCACATAATCATATCACCTAAATATGGTGCATGCAGAGGCCACAGGGCACGCACCATCATACAACACGTAGTAAGCTAACTCCAACAGTAAGGTCACTTACCTCGATGGTCTTGGTTGAAGTCACTCTCAACGATCTAGTCCCAGCAGTTAAATATGCCGTATGATAACCACATAAGAATTTAGAACCTTTCATAAGGTACCCTAGCTAAACCTCATGCTATTTATTAAAATAATCCCCCGACCTACGCTGTCTTTAACGTTTAGGGACCATACTGACCTCGGATGGTAAAACTGAGGGCAGAAACAACTTCGGAATGGTCAAAAACCTTGGAATCGATATATTATAGTGATATCGAGTCACCAAGCCGAGTTGCCGAGCCGACCAACTAAGCCGCCATGCCGAGCTGCGGGATTTAACGGAGCCGAGCCGCGGGACAAGTCAAGCCGAGCTGAGCTGCCACGAGATACGCGTGCAAAGCAATGCATGCGTTTGTTGGGCTCGTATTGGGTCGGAATGAGCGTGGCCCGTGTTCGTCTATGGACTAGGCTAGAGACGAAGTAGCCCGACCCGAATCTTTTGTCTTCCTTACCCGGAAGACTTTGATAACCCTAAACGAAGGTGCGCCGTTGCCGTTGCCGATGACGACACAGTCTACCCACTTCCGATGACGGTGACGTGGCGTCTTCCTCCTTCAATTCTGGCGGCCTACCTTCTTTAACGCAGCGATCTCGACGTCGATGCTTACTTCTACCCGATTTCTTTCTCCAAAACAGCAACGCTAATCGATTCTAAGAACTCCTTGAAAACCCACGAACCAACCACACGCTTTTCCCCTCTAACACTCTTGGTTTTTCCCTTACTCTCAAACACCCTCGAGAACTCGAAACGTTTGGAGAGTCAAAGTCGTTTCGAAGAGAGTTGAATATGGGAATATAAAAGATGTTTATGACTTTTCCAGTAGTAATTTCCTTGCTAGAAATAGTACATTTTCCAGTGACAATAAATGCAGTATAATATATTTTCGTTTTGGCACAGAAATAAAATCTGAGCATAAAATCTAAAATAAATAAAAAAAAATCCAATCCTTACCGAAAATATGTATAATAATTCAAAATGGGAAGGTTAATATCATAAAACGGATATATGCAAAGAACTCAGGTCAATTTTCCTAAAAAAACAAGAATGATGGTCAATTGCAACTTTCTAATATGAAACCAACCAAATGGCACAACATTTTTTTTTAGTAAAAAATATCATTAAAGTTTATTTGTTATGCTCATAAAGAAAGAAAAAAAACATTTACAAGGAAAATGATGTTTAGAGGACTATGAAAGGAAAGAAACTATGTGGAAACAGAGGGAAGAGATGAAGGAGAAGTACCCAAGTAATTCCAATATTAAGACATTTTCTTAATTCCAATCTTAAGACACTTTCGAGGATGAAAGTTTCATCTTGACGTGTATGATGTATGAACAAAAAATAAAAAAAATAAAAAAATAAAAGCAGGGAAACTTTGTGCCACATTGTTAAAGCTGAGAAATGGCGGGTTGGCCTCCACTATAAAAAAGGGAGGTCCCCCACTTCATTTTATCATCCTAAATGAACGGTTCGAGCCAGTTAGAGAGTACACTTTAGGTGTAAACAATTAAACCCAGCTCTGATGTTTCTTTTTAGCGTTATAAAGCTCGACTAGTAGCAAAGGTATACACTCAGGTTGAAGGTGTTGATTACAAAGAGATTCTCCTATAGCGAAATTTACTCATTATTGCCGTTTCTCGAAAATGGTTCACTTATCAGTTGGGTGTTCAAAATGTCTTTCTCCATGGTAATCTAGACAATGAAGTCTATATGTCTTTACCACCACGCATTCGCCAATAGGGGAAGAATACAATATGTCCACTCCATAAATCTCTTCATGGTTTAAAACAGGCTTCTCGCAATTGGTTCTCGATATTCTCCACCACTATGCAAAATGGAGGCTCCAGTCAGTCAAAAGCAGATTACTCTTTATTTACTAAGAGTAAAGATACTTCTTTCACTGCAGCTCTTATCTCTGTTGATGATATTCTGTTGACAGACAATGATCTCAAAGAAATTCAACATCTTAAGATTAGTTTACTCGAGAAAATCCTTATCAAAGATTTCAAGAATTTGAAATATTTCATAGGCATTAAATTTTCTCAGTCTAGAAAAGAAATTTTTATGTCTCAAAGGAAGTATGCTCTAGACATTCTTAAAGACACAGGTCTTACAGAGCACATCTAGAAACATTTTCTATGGAGCAAAGTCTGAAACTTTCTTTAACGGAAGAAGAGAAGTTGAATGATCCAAGTAAATACAGACGGTTGATTGGCAGATTAATATATTTAGCTATTACTAGGCCTAACATAGTGTATTCAGTTCATATGCTTAGTCAATTTATGCATGAACCAAGAAAACAACATTGGGAGGCAACTCTTCGAGTTCTGAGATACATCAAAGGTACTTCTAGCCAAGGACTTCTACTACCATCTGAAAACAACTTAAGATTACAAGCATATTGAAATTCAGAGTGGGGTGATTGTCGAACTTCGAGACGGTTTATTTCTGGGTTCTGCATTTTCCTCACAAATTCAATTATTTTTTGGAAGTCTAAAAAACAAACAAAGACTTGAAAGTTCCACTGTCTGAACCAGCATTATTGTATTGTGATAATCAAGCAGCATTACACATAGCTGCCAATCAAGTTTTTCACGAATGTACGAAGCACATTGAAATAGTTTGTCATATAGTTCGAGAAAAGTTACAAGCTGGAACCATCAAACCGTGTTATGTTTTGACTAAAATGCAATTGGCAGATATTTTCATAAAGTTTTGGGAAGACATCAATTTGATTTTTTGAAAGACAAGTTGGATGTGATTGACATACCCTCTCTAACTTGTAGGGGGTATTTGTTGGATTTTATGTCCTACCACTTATAGTTTATAAACAAAAACATATTCTATTTTCAATAAAGTTATCATTGATGTTAATTCAGTAAAGATTGTCATTGAATAAAGTGAATTTTACTATCATTAATATTCAATAAACTAAGAATACTCTGACTATAGTATGTGTTGGGTTTTATGTCATACAACTCATAGTTTGTAAACAAAAACATATTATGTTTTCAATAAAGTTATTATTGATGTTTATTCAGTAAAGATTGTCATTGAATAAAGTGAATTTTACTATCATTAATATTCAATAAACTAAGAATACTCTGACTATAGTATGTGTTAGGTTTTATGTCACACAACTCATAGTTTGTAAACAAAAACATATTATGTTTTCAATAAAGTTATTATTGATGTTTATTCAGTAAAGATCGTTATTCAATAAAGTGAATGTTCATTAATCTAAATCTAATAAACTAAGAACACTCTAGCTATAGTATGATTACTTGAACTATATGTAGAGACATAAGAGTGGATCAAGTTTAAGTATATAGTCAAAATGATCTATGGTATAGGGATAAGGCTGAGTACCTTATTCTGGGGACACTATGGATGCGGCCCACTTTTGTATATGATATAAACAATGTGATCACTAAATTGTAATGTGGAGACATGTGAGTGGGGGCGTCCTATGCAATATTGCATAAGATCGGACCATGAAGAAAACCACTCTCACTTCCTGTGTTTACAGTTGATCAGACCATGGTTTGTGCTTTACCAATCTTCTCATATCATATTGGACAAATTTAGATAAAAATTCTCTCATTTAGATACCCAATTATGTAGGAGTCATTAATTAACACACTTTCCATACTTTTAAAATTGATTTAAAGGTGACTAATATTTAATAAGATTTGATGGAGAATATGATGGTTAAAATTCTTGTATATTACATTGAAGGTGTAATAGCCCAAAAAAATAAACAAATAAACCAAGAAAAACAAAAGATTATAAAAAGAAAGTCTATTATATACAGAATTGAACTTGAAATTAATGTCATGGGTCCACATAGGTTGACTTTGATACAAAGAACAAAATCGAACTATAACTAAGGATAGATTGGTGACACTACATAAGCTAATCACGTAACTGGCCTTACTATCGGCATGGTTATATTTGATGTTGACACATTCCTTTGGTTCTGCACGTGTCATATATACTGATATCTGTAAATTATTTATGGATCAATATGCTTATGATATGTTATGTATATGTTATAATATGTGCATTGTATGATAATACTTACGGTACAATGTTTTCAATGATATGGTTGAGATAGGATACGAGAAGAAGTGAATTTAAAGTAATAATGGGAGTAAGACAAGTTCATGAAACGTTAAGGTTAGGTTATGTATCGAAGTGCTATGTATATGAGAGATTGATAAAAACGATATGGTCACGATCGATTGATAAAAGAATATGGTTAGGTTATGGGTAGAAAGGGATAGGATTATAATAGATTGTTAAAACAATAGCGTTAGAATACGTTCATATGACAATATACGTTGTGATTGGATATGAAAGTGATATGAAATATGTTATGGTAGGAGATGTGTGATAAATTAACATATTTGTGATATGATATACTGTGATGCGATATGTTATGGTATGAGATGTATATAAGGAGATGTTATGTTAAAAGTTTGGAAAGTTACGTTATGTCTTTTAAATTTTATGTATATAACATGATATGAATGACATGAAATCACGATAAATGGCATGAAATATAACCCTATTAGAGTTATGTATGATACGAGAATTGAAAAATGATATGATATTTACGGAACGCTAGCGGGGTTATATTAAATAATAATGACAATGGAAAAATATTGGTACCTCATGCATTATGTGTGCTCGTGCCTTGGGGGATACACCTATTCCATCACGAGGGTACGAGCGCGTACACCACTATGCAGGTGAAGTAACATTATGTTTTACATAATGCTGCCGTGACGGTTACTAATTCTAATGGATGTCCGGCATGGGGATCTACCAGAGCAGGCAGGTCGACAAGAAAAGGGGTCCAGCGGTGTGTGAAATGTCTGGTGAGCCCAATACTCACAAGTATGGGTTGTAGGTAGAGTATATGGTACACATCCAAGCTGCCCAATAGGATAGTGTCGTAGGAAAAGAGACTGATATGATAAGTCTCACCATTGCGTTCGCATAGTCATGCATTTAACCCCGATAGTGGGGTCACTTACTGAGTATTTCTAAAAATACTCAAGTAACGTGCTACCTCTATTTCAGGTTAAGGCAAGACATTCCTGTACGGCTCACAACGACATCGCAACTCAAGACCATGACACATGCATAAGGTGGTCGTATTATTTTCTTAGACTTAGCTAGATTAGGATGCTTTTAATTTAAACGTTTATTTATT